CATTGCTAAGCCTCTTCTAAGCTTCTCCTTCTCCTCTTCCTTCTTCTTCTTCCTTTTTTTTCGAAGAGACACTGTAACTAGGCTCGTACTTTCATAGTGACAGCTTTCAAAAAGTCTACCCTAACACAATTTAGCCTAATCCCAAGCACACGGGAGAGTGGACTGTTAAAAAAAAAATACATCGTCCCAGGAGTCAGCTGCCTCTCTATCCTCCTACTCCTTCTCTAATATGAAAAAAGTGGATTATTTTCTCCCTAGGTTGTAAAAATATTCTTCAGAGAATGATTACACCTGTCACAGATGGAATCTTGAAATAAGCTAAATGTTTAGGTTCATATTCGAGGAATTCCCTGGTGAGATGAATTCTCCATGCAATCTTTGCTAACATTATTACCGAACTGCAGGCGTGAAATCTGTCCAAGAGGAACTAGGTTGGTCTGTTTATTGGTAAAAGCTCAGTAGGACAAAGGGACTCACTCCCTCTTGCTTTTGGGTGCTTAGAGCTTGGGGGTGTCCTACCTGGAAGGGTTACCAACAGGCTCCTCAACAGCGTACTCCTTTCCCTGCCGGCCTCAGAGGCGGGATGCTACAGCCAGAGAAAATGAACTCAGATTTTTCTCCTTCCGCTCCGTTCTGACTAGCTGGGAGCATCGCCAGAGCCTCCACGTGGGACTCCTCTCCAATTCCACTTTGGTCTTGGAGTTGCCTTCCTAACACTGGAGTCTGCTACTTAGAATCCTTTGATAGCTGCGAGATGAAAGGCAGAATTTCCGTGGTGTGTTCCCATAGGATCCCCGCCATCTTTCACAAGGCTCTGCCCCCCCTTCTGTTCTCTAATCACTCCTCTCTTCCGTTCCACCTGCTGAAAATGCCTTTCCGCCTGTCGTCTGTCAGCACTTTCTGTCATTTTCCAGAGCCAGGCCCGTCGACCCTTTCATCATGACGCCTTCTTCCCCTCTTACCTACTTCACTGAACCACTCAGTGTGCGCTGGCTATGCCACTGCAGACTGCACGAGTCGGTTACAGCGTTTATCACAGTGAACAGCCATGCCCTTAGGTGGATTTCCTTACTGGAATGGCAGTGCAAGGCCTCGGACGTATTTATCTTTGTGACTGCAGAGACAGAGAGCCTGGGACAGCTCCTGGCACCTGTGTGACAAGGAGAGTGGGTTCATCGAGTGAGTCAAACAAGGGCAGGTGCTACACAACACCATCAGGTCTTAGCCAGGCAGTGAGGCCTTTCTTATTCTTCCAGCAGGACTGTGTCCAGAGAGGTGAACTGTGTACCCAGGAGAAGCTGACGCTTAATGAGCTAATCGATTGATTGAGTGGGAGGGAGATGTTTAGAAAAGCAAAGGACTCAGGCCCATCGCAGTGACCTAACTGCTAAAGTCCTTGAATGCACCAGGATCTAATCCCATCGCGCCCTTTCCCATCCAGTTCCCTGCTTGTGACCTAGGAAGGCAATCGAGAATGGCCCAAGGACTTGAGACCCTTCACCCACATGGGAAACCTGGAGGAAGCTCCTGGTTCCTGGCTTCAGATCGGCTTAGCTCTGGCCGTTGTGGTCACTTGGGGAATGAATCATTGGACAGAAGATCTTCCTGTCTATCTCTCCTCCTCTCTCTATATCTGACTTTGCAATAGAAATAAATAAATCTTTAAAAAAAAAAAGAAAAAGAAAGGCAAAGGACTCCCTTTTCCCAGCAACTTCCAGATACCATCTACGTTTGGTTTCTCAAGGGATCTGGCTGGCTTTTCTGTCTGAATTCAGTGCATCTCAGCTATCAAACCATTTATTCTAGTGACAACTGTCCATGATCTCCCATGGCTTCAAACAGATTCAGAACAGTGCAAGAACACAATGCAGTCTTCTGGAACATTCCCTTGCCTCTGAGGCCGGGAGGGCTGTGGGGAGATTTTCTCAGCAGCATCAGTGGAATTTCTAGTCCAGTCTATTAGAAATTCAGGCAAATGCACACCATCTGAGGAGGCTTTTACAGTACTTTGCTCCCAAAAATTGATTTTAAAGAGAACATAAGGGCTCCAAAACCCCATTTAATGTCTTCAAACGCCATCATGAACTTACAGCCAGGCTAGTCCCACCTTTGGGACTGTGTTGTTGCCTCAAATATTTCATTGCTTCTTAAGTGTCAGGGTGTGTGTGGGAGGCATCTCATGGGAGTTTGTACATTCGAAATAGAGTCTACTAAAACTGTTCTTAACTAGAGAATCTGCAGAGCCGAAGCTTAGGGTATTCTGCTGCCTGTGTGTGTGTTGTGCACATTAGACAAAGGAATGGGCAGAGCTTATCGCTCAGGGACTGGTCAAGATAAAAACCACACATTTGTCCCCATCCCCTGTCTGCTTCATGTTTCTCAGGCCCAACAGAACAGCTTGCTAATGGGAAGAGTTGCCCTGTTACACACACACACACACGCGCGCGCACACACACACACGCACACGTCTGACCTAGAGCGCTGTATGTCCCAGAGACCAGTCACCAGTCATTAGAGATATCTACACGTCGTCATGGAGGCCACTAGTGGTGATCGCTCAAATTGCAAGAGGATGCCATTTCAAACTCACTCTCTCTCTCTCTCTCTCTCTCTCTCTCTCACACACACACACACACACACACACACGTATCTTCCTAGGTCTTGTCCCTCAGAAAAGATGACTTGGGAAAACTGAATCTTATTGCCAGAAAGTCTCATTTTAGGACAGTGAAGTTTAGTTCTGAGATGTAGAAGATAGCCTCTTTTTTTCTTTTGGTTTGCCACCTTTTGCTTTTTTGCTTGTTCTAGCGTTAGGCTCCCTGGGCTCAGAGACCTGCCCCCCCAGCAGGCAGCCTTTCAGTGTATCTGTGTGAGAAGTGTTACCTGGATGCGTGCTTATGAACTCTAGAATTGGCTTCCAATGGTAAGAGTATGATGATGTTGGAGCTGACAAACGGCTCAACCCCCAAGTGGCTGACTTCATTCATTCTACAAATAGTCACTCACCGTTTATACAATAACTCCCGGGAGTGCCCTGCAGCGTTCCTGTGGCTGTGCGTGACTTCGAAGTAAATAAGGACTGCTTTTCCAAAATAATTCAATTAAGTCATTCTGCATTCACGCCCCAACCCGCCCCCAATGAACACGAAGACAGTAGTCCCCATTGAGAACTGACCCACCCGTGCAAATTCTCTGTAACTTTGGTATCTGACTGTCAATCTACTGCTAAGATCTCAGACTTATCGCTGCAACAGCCTGTGCATACCTCCCCTAGGAGTGTTCCCTCCAGCGGTTTCCTGAGCCGGTTACGGGTACAATCACAGGCCCAACCTGAATCAGTGCGCATTTACTGGTCACGTGCTGTGGGTCCAATACTATCCGAGGTGCTGCTCATGACATCCCATGACAGCCCGTGAAGGAGGCGCATTGCTCGCGGGGCATTCCTGCCATCCAGCCTGAGTCCTAATGCCAGCCAGGTCCCTGCTCTGTCCCACAGTACCTTCGTGGAGGTGCACAGCTCTCCTCGCCGGCGGTGAAGTGGATGGCCGTGCCTTGCTCTGTCTGCTCTTACCGCTCTCCTCTCCCACTGCCCCAGTCCGCTCCCCTGGGTCCCAGTGACTTTTCTGCCAGAGGAAAATTTTGCTTGAAAACTGAATATGCCAAGGTAGCCTGTTTGATGACTTACTCTCTGCAGGCTTTCCAATTTTATTTGCATTCTTAAAAAAAATTAAGCCTCCTGGACTGAGGCAGGTGAAAGATGTAAAATCAGCTGCTTGTGCTGGGCCTCTGTGTCCTAAACTCCAGCATGGGGCTTGAGATTAGTTCATCCCTGAAGTTTCTGTGTTACCAGCTCTGGTGGTGGAAGTTCTAGAATGCTGTACATTGCTGGGAGCAGAAAGCAGAAGTGCAAGTTGACCTTGACTCCCTGACCTGTGCCACTCAATACATGTCATTCATAGCTGTCCCCCCCCAAGCATGGGCAGTGCCCGTGGATGGAATTGGGTATCTTTTTGCTTTTACACGTTGATGTCAGATCATCCAGACATGATTGAACAACACAATCGATGCTCGGGCAGCTCTTTACCTGGGTTTGTGACAGATCAACACTCTTCTTCCCACTTGAACTGAGAGCCCCAGATCAACCTGGGGCCGGGAAGTACTCAGGGCCCGTCCAACAAGGTGACTCAACCACACAGTCACAGAGTGCCCCCAGCCAGTGAGTGTTACACTCTGAGCAAAACGCAGCACAGAGCATCCTTGTGAACAAATTCAGGTTTTGGCGTGCGGATGCTACTGGCTCGAGGTGCTAAAAGCACTCGTGGCCATGCAAGGACAGAGTCTGAATGTCCTAGTCACAGCCCAAGAGAATGGGGGCTGTGTCACCAAGCTGGCACCTGGGCGGGCACTGCCACAGCTGACCAGGGCCAAGAAGTCAGCAGCTGGTGGGTGCACTCAGATCCCATTCCCTCCCGGCCTCCTTCCTGCTCCCAATCCGATCCGATGGAGGCAAGAGGCAGGGGCAGCAGCTTGCCTCCCCTGATCCCTGGCTTGCTCTAGAGACAAACAGAGGCTTCCATCTCCATTACTGTCACAGTCGGGAGCCTCTTGCCAGCTCTGAAATTCACAGCCTAGGAGGGAGAGGGAGAGGGATGGAGGTGCAAGCCAGACAATCCAAACAGCCACAATATTTTGGAAGTGGAATCTTCCAGTTAGGGAACGTTCTCCAAAGAGCAGAGCAGCAGACCTGGAAGACGCCTCTCTGAAAATCCAGAGCAAACAGCTGAGAGACAGAAAGGCAAAGTGGTGACCCAAAGGTTATGAGGCAGGCAGACACAGAACTGCATAGGGATCGGAACTTTTACCACTCAGAAAGAAAGCAGTTCTTTCTGCGAATCCAGGGACTGGCATGGGGCCTCCTTCTGCGGGAGGCAGAGGAAGCTCACCCAGCACCTGTGGCAAGAGCTGTGCATGGACCAGAAGCAGGCGGGGCAAGCTCCTACCTTGCAGGTTGACACCCCGGGGCACGAGGCCCTGCAGCTCCACGGTGGGGAGCTCGTCTTCCGCTGCATTGGAATTGTTGGGTGGCACTGCCCTCCTGCCCCCGAAGGTGCTGCTGGAGGCTTCCGACATGCTTGGCGTCACGGGGTCCTTGAAGGGAAGTGGGAGACAAGGAGATAAAGGCATTTGAGGCAAAGGATTCATAAAACAGGGCAACAGGCTTATCTATCTGAACAGTGCATATTGAGTTTTATGGAGATAGAAATTGTTACATGGCAAGAAAAATTATCTTAGTGACCTAACAGGAACTTAATAAGGGATTTATTTGAAAAAAAGAAAAACTTTGAAAATTTTAGAGCCCAAGATTCTTGACTGCCCATACCCTTACAGACAACAGCTTCATAGGAACAGCTACTGTTTTAGGCACTTTACGAATGCCCACTGGACAGATGTTATCAAGCTTACATCACTTTTAAGAACAAAATCACACAGCCACGTCCAGACGAGTGTCATCTTCCAATTGCATGGAAGTGCCAGATGGAGCTTGCGCTACACAGGACACGTCACAGAACAGAACAAGACCTGACCATCTTGTGGGATTGGGGAGGGACCTGGCAGAGACCCAGGTCAACTCCAGTGGGTGCCAGGGGATGAGAGCTGCTTTAAAAGCAGGCCCACAGGGTGGGCACTTGGTTAAGTCACCCCTGGGGATACCCACATCCCGTATCAGAGGAAAGGGCTGAAGTTCCAGCTCTGCTTTCCATTGCCTCTGCTGCTGTGTGCCCCACTAGACAGCAGTGATGGCCCCCCGACTGGGCTGCTGCAACTCTGAGTGTCCAGGCTCCCTGGCCTGCTGGTGCAGGTATTTGCGGTGGACTGATGAATGGCAGATTTTTCTCTCTCCCTTTCATAAGTTAAACAAATAGGTACTTTTTTTAAACAAAGAAAAGCAGCAATCCCACAGGAGGAGGCTGAGGCATCTCCGAGACCGGGAAGCTGGGCCAAAGCCCACTGTAACTTTCAACAGGGCGTAGCTGGGTTGTTCTGTACACACTCTCAGTCAGGGCTGCTAACACCACCCTCGCCCCCAGCCGCCTTGTCCTTCCTTTGGAGTTTGTGCAGGCCACAGGCCAGGATAAACACCACACACCTTGCAGTTGGCATTAAAGGAGGACTTGTTGACCAACTGACCAGATAAAGAGAGACTCTGTGTCTGGACCCAATCACCTGGGTTATCCAGCCACGGTGCCGGGCAACTTAGCTGTTTTCAAAAAAAAAAAAAAAAATCCAGGCACAACCTCTAAAGATGAACAGTCGCCACGCCATTATAGAAGCAAGTAGAAGATTCCAGAAACCTGGTGAGAGAGCCAGTTCCTAAGGCGTTTGGTCCTGGAAGGAGATAGGAGTGTTTGGAAGGATGAGGACTGAACGAATCTCTATGTCTAGTCTGTCTCTGGTTAGCCAGGTGTGGACGGTGTTGGAGGGTGTTGAAGCATTAATGACAGGGATAAAGCTAGAAGTAGCCAGGGTGGGGCCCATGAGGAGGCGAGGGTCTGAGAGAGAGAGAGAGAGAGAGAGAGAGAGAGCAGGGTGCTGGAAATAGGAAAAGACAAAAAGTCTGGGGTCCAGGTGTCAGCAGGTCCAGGGAAGCAGGTGCAGGCCTGAGTGGCTGTGTTTAGACGCCCCAGTTCTGCAGCGCAGGTCTAGGGCAGAAAAAACAGGTTCAAAGCCAGCTGTCCATGAGGTGGCAGCCCAGCCAGGCTGGGTCAGCAGAACAGGCTGCCTACCTGACCCAACCTCACCAGTCTTCCCTTGCTCCAGTCTGCTCCCAGAAAGCAAGGGCTCTGTCCTCCGAGCTCACACACCCTTCATCCCCTGTTCCCATCGGGCGGCCTTGCCAAGCAGAGCAAGTCAGCATCAGAAACAGTCAGAGAGCAGTCAACATTAGAAGTGCAGCCCACCAGGTGCCAGGTCAGGAGAGGTATTGAGTCCCCCCGACACACACACCCCTGAGCAGCAGCCTCAGGGACCTGGGGGAACCTTGGGACGCTTACCTATGTGCTCTCCGCAGGTGCCCTCGTGGAGAAGGCTGGCTCTGTGTGTCTCTGCTACTTCTGCAAAAGGAGGCAGGAAAGAGGACCAGAAAGTTGGCCCTTAAATAACTTCCTAATGCCCTCCTCACCCTTCCCCCACCCCACAGGGCTTTCTCCTCCCCCTCCTTGACAGCTGGAACCAGTCACGGACTTTCCAGCGACTTCTGCCATCCTGCTCTGCTGTGTTATTCAGACAAAATTCCTCCCTGCCTCCCAGTTGCCCTGTCTCTTCCCTCCTCCTCCCTCCTTCACTGCTGCTGGGCGTGGCAGGCTAGTGGCCCCACTGTGCCAGGTGGCACACAAGCGCCCCTGCTGCTTTCACAAAGGAGCATTTCTGCCACACAAGGAGGCCTGCCCTGCACACACGGACACTCAGAGTTGTGACCATGCATAAATCTGGAGCAGGTGTCCCTCCTGTGCAAATAAAGCTCATTTCTCCAGCCACCCACGGCTACTACCAAACTTCCTGCCAACCTGAGTTAAAAAACACCTTGAAGGGTGAGGCTCACATTAGTAAATAAACACTTTATTTTTTTCCTGCCCACGCCCACTGCCTCAAAACCATTCTGATGCATCTTCAAGCGTGAGAGACCAAGAAGAAAAAAAATTCATTGAAAATTTCCCATGTAAATATCTTTACTGTGTCTCTGTGTGTTTATAACCTGCAATGCACAATTGAGACTGTGTCTGGCCTTTGCAGGTCTTCCAGCTGTTTGTCCTGCCATTTGATCAAGGTCCTAACTGCAGCGACAAACAAACTTACCAGTTTGAAGTTCTCGCCAGTTTTTGTGGCTGGGTCTACAGACTTGCCAGTGAGCAGTAGTTATCTTTCCATGCATGCTTCCTGTTCCTGAGGACAGAAAGCTTGCCCACCCAGGCCGCTGTTGCTCCTGGTCTCCTTGACGCTGCTGCCTGTCAGTCACCCTGTATCTCATATCCCCCCTGCATTTCTGAGCTCCTGCATCCTGGCTGTTGCCTCCTACCAGCATTTCCACCATTTCAACACGTCTCTTCCATGTTTTTAAAACCCTTGGTCAACCCACAGCTGCCAGCTATTGCCCTTTCTCCCTCCTTGTCTACCGAGGACTGGGTCCAGGATATAGAAAAAGAGATTATTTGGTTCAGGGTTCTGGAGGGCTGTGACCCCACAAGAACATGGAACCAGTAACGTCATCATTTCAGGAGAGGGCCTCGTGATGCCCAGCTCAGCTGAAAAGCACAAGGACAAGTGGGCACGTGGAGGTGGAAGAGGGCAGCCTCACGTTATCAAGGCTCATTCTTGAAGCGTTGAACGCACTCGGGTAGACCTGCCCAAGGCAGTCTGCAGCAGCTAGTGCTCCAGCTGGGGGATAGGACTCAGTCTTGTTAGCTTGGCCCTCCGGAGGCTTTGAACTCTGTGGCCTACCCATTGCTTCCGCATATCCTTTCTTATCCTCCCTTGACGATAACCCTTGGGTCTATCCGTATACTTAGTCCCTTCACATCCAATCTCTCAGATACAGGCTGTAAGAGTTTTGTGGGGCTCAAATCTGCAACCAGGTGCTTTGCACATACTTCCCATGCTTTTAGGATTAAGTGCCCACTGCAGCTGGGAGGGCCTTGGGCAGGGCAGACACTACTCCACTCTCTGGTCCTGCCCCTCCAATCCTCCCTGGCCACTGCACCTGCACCCTGCTTCTCCTCTCTTCTTCCAAGACTACTGCTTATCCCCACCCCCTGCCCTTGGATTGCCGTTTTCCTGCTGTCCTCTGTACAGTTCACCCCATTGTGGCGTTTTCTCCCGGCTGGTGGTCATCATCGCATTTCCCAAAGACAAACAGTTGACAAATGTGTGACCCCAAGTTCATCCTTCACCAACCCCCCCAGAGGAAACTCCAGAGAAGTGTTTTCCTGATGCCCAAGATGGTCAGACAGCTCATCTGTGTGGGCTTCTGAAAGAGTGGCCACTTTGGTGCTTTCAGATTCGGTCATTCCATGGCTATGAGGCCCCCAAGGCTCCTGGTTGAGCTGTGCATTCAAAACAGCCTGGTCACCCTGACAACTGCTGTCACCACAGTGAACACACACACACACACACACCCTTTAATTAGCTCACTAACTCCCTCAAGCTTCTAACTCAGTAGCAATATGATTATGACGTCTTGCCTTACGTGTAACAGTCAATGAAAGAATAAATCCTTAGCCTTAGCATGAGGTGGGGACCCATACATTTCAGACAGTTTTCTCAGGGTTCTGTGACTGCAAAGTCAGAACAAATATTTCTGATAATAGGATGATGCTTCGAAATTCATTGGTGAAATGGACTGCAAAGGTCAAGTGAAGCTGGCCTGGTGGTGCAGGTGGTTAAGCCACTGCGGCGACACTAGCGCCCTACGTTGGAGTGTAGCCCGGAGTCCTTGCTTCTTTGCTTTCAGTCTAGCTCCCTGCTACAGAACCTGGAAGGCAGCTGCTGAGGGACCAAGTTCCACTCCTGAGGGAGACCCGGCTGGAGTTCCTGGCTGGACTTTCTGGCTCGTCTTTTTGACCTGGCATAGTTTTGGGTCTTGCCATTGTTTGAGGGATAAACTGGCAGATGAAAGGCCTGTCTTTCTATACCACCCTCTCCTCATTGCTCTGCCTTTCTAGTAAGTCAGTAAATAAATCTTCCACATGAAAGTTATTGTGAGTTGCCCACTGACTTTTTGAAGTTCATTTGAGCCTTGGGTTATTCCTGAAATGCGACTTTTGTATCAGCAGCTTTGGAGCACACACTCTGAGTGTCTGCAGGCCAGGACGGTGTCTTCTGTCTTCATTTCTTGCCCAACAGGGAAGTGGCACAGTGTAGGCATTTTAGGAATGCAGCACATTCATTAATAGAGTCCAGCCAGGAACCAAAAACCACCTTAGGAATATATAATTTTTAAAGATGGACTTTAATACAGGTGCTCATGCAGGACCCAGGAGAGACTAGAATCCAAACAGGGGAAGGTAAGTCAACACAGCAGTTAGGAGCAGAAGGGAGGAGCTCAGTGTGAAAGCGAAGGCTGTGTGGCAGATCAGGGGCCCTGGGGGAGCTTGAGGTTATCATTCCTGGAGACACAGACTGAGCTCAGGAAGGACTCCCTCAACTCGTCCCATTCTTTCTGGTCCACAGCCCCTCTGATGTGTCCCATTTGCTGACCTCATGTAAAACCAATAGACAAAGGGGTCCATTAAACGCTGGCAGCAGTTGACACCACTGTTGTGTCAGGGGCCTCAACAGCACCCCAGGTGCCGTGATGCACTGGGACTGCTGAGCAGAGCTAAGTCATGGCTCTGACGTGTTACAGCAGAAGGAAAAGGAACCATCACCAGAGGGAGCCAGGCAGAAGTTTCCAGGGTTCCTCTCTCCATCCAAGTCATAAAGTGAGCTGTGAGTGCTTCTGCAATACTGGCCGCCAGGGAGCTCACGAGAGAATCTGTGCCGGTGTTTATTGGGGCCACGTTGCATGAGCATCCTCCACCTAGCTCAGATCCCAACTCCAGACAGACTCACGTGATGGAAAGAGGCTCTTGGCATGAACCACATCTTTTGCACAACTTAGGAACAGTGACCAACGCTAATCAGCTAGTAGATGGTAAGGGAGGGCTCTGGAAATCCAAGTTCTCAGACAGCAGCCAAAGGTCGGCCTAGCAAGCAGGCCTGTCTACGGCCACTTCCACGTTTCCAGTGGTAACTCCTGTCCACAGTGCTTTTCCCACGTCACTAGGCAGAGCAGGAAAAGGAGAAGGAGAGGACCTTCAGGCAACGAGCTCCAGGAGGTAGAGTTGGTCTTCATCACTGGTGGCCAGTCCCACCCCTCACACTCTCTTTTGTATTGAAGATTTATTTTATTTATTTAGAATACAGAGTTAGAGAGAGAGAGAAGGCTGCTGCGGTGGTTTGGCTGTCTTCTGCTTGCCTGACCCCTCCGACTCAGAATGGGACCCCTGGGGACTCATGCAGTCCACTGACCGCATGAGAGGTGGCATGCCTTCTCATTCTCCAAAGGGCTGTCAGCTCAGCATCCTGTTGACTGGGACTTGAAGAAGGCTGCAATTGACACCTCACTGCCTCGCCTCCCCAAGGGGCAGGACAGGAACGCTGGCACGCATCACTAAGGGATCAGAAAGAAGAAGCAGTCTTTGTGACCGATGAGTAATCAGCTGGTGCCCAGAGGGGTGGGGTGGGGGCTGGATTCCAAGTCCCCTGGTCCTGACCCTTCTCTTCATCCTTTTTACGATTCTGACAATCTTCCCTCCAGATGAACCACCTCCATCTCCCTCCTTTTGGGCAATATCCAAGACTGTACTTGCTTAGAGGATGAATGTTTTCACCAATGCTATTCGGTTTGCATGCAAAATTTCATGTCTCAAAGAACCAAGTCATGTCTGGACGTTGCTCTTTTTTCAACAGCTGAACAAGACATGATTGTGGCGGGTGTGGACCTCGATCCCAAGGGGAGGAGTGGGGAAAATTTGTAAGTGGCCTTGCACACAGATGCACAGCCCTCCAGCGTGAGCAGGCCACACCCGGCTCTCCTCTGCTGCCCTTGCTCTTGGTGGAGTCAGGGGGAACTTTCCACTCCAGAAGGAAGGACCATGGGGAGAAGCTGGGTGGAAAGTTTTCAGTCACGTTGCAGACAGTGACGAAGGGTGGCCTCTGTATCCTCTCACATCTTCATCGCAGCCTCAGAGGAGTTGTCACCAAGACTGACAGTGACACCGAGAAGCGCCCAGAAGGAATCTGAGCGGCACCGTTGCATCTGCTGCCACTTTCTGGGGCTCAGGGTCTGTGAGAGCGTCATCCCTCTGAGAGTCTGTTTCCTGCTTTCAGGACATACAAATCGATGCCAATGACAGCTCCAGATGGTGGACAGTTCCTCACTGCCGCAGCTTTCAGAGGACGGTTCTTCCGTGTGCGGTCTGTGTTTCTCAGTATACCTTCCTGTGGAGCAGTGGGCAGTTCTGAGCCAGGACCCCTCACTGCAGGACCAGCCAGGGTTCAAATGCAAGACAGCTGAGCTAATGCACTCCCACACTTAGAACAGATGCCCCT